CCCGGCCCGGCCCCAGTCGAACCCCGCCTCAGTCCCGGCCCAGCCCCGGCCAACCTTGGTGTTCCCGGTGCGGTGAGGGCTGAGGCAGAGCCTGGGAAGCGACACCGGGAACACGCGGGGAAGCGGCAGTGAGTAAGCAGCGAGGGAGCAGCGAGTGAGCAGTGAGTGAGCAGTGAGTGAGCAGCGAGTGAGCAGCGAGTGAGCAGCGAGGGAGCAGCGAGGGAGCAGCGAGTGAGCAGTGAGTGAGCAGCGAGGGAGCAGCGAGGGAGCAGTGATCGGGAGCGGTCGGGGGCACCCCCGGCCCGGCACAGGCCCCGGGCATCTCCTGACATTCCTCTCCCCTGTGCCAACCTGCAGGAACGCTTCACACTTGTTCTTTCTTACATTAACAACGTTTTTGCACACGTACCAGTTTATGAAACAGTAACCTCGTCTGCAGGTGACAATCCCAATACACCAGAAGGCAGCATCTTCACGTTTTCGAAAATCAAAATTTGTAACTAATTGTTGCATTAAATTGCAAAATCGCGTTTCGGTCTTCACAATTACTGTCTTGTTTCTGATTCAAAGTTCGGAAGACTTCTGGTTTCCATTCACATCTGCTAGATAAACAGCATCCTTTGCCTTCCCTCCTATTYGTTATAAATACATCAGATTATATATATATAATATGATTAGAAAAAATGAGAAGCCCCATGTTGTCTCAGTAAATTGAGGAATTCTGGAGGAGAAAGCTACTTGGCTCACACTCCATGTCAGAACTCAGCGAGCCCTGCCTATACTTGTCTGCTGGCTATTTTTGTGCCTGAATGCGTAGTTGTGCCTGATTAGAGGCTGTGAAACCTGAGAGGTCCTGGATTGCTTCACTTTCCTTCACACTATGATGTATTCTCGTGGTTGCAGTGTACTGCACACACTGCTAGTGCAGCCCAGATCCTGCTGACTGCAGATGTGGAACCATCTGCTTTACAGGAGCGGCCTGCCAGATGAGAATTTCTCTCGTTTGGGGAAATGTGCAAAAATTCCATGTAGCACCTTTATTTTAAAATCACTTTTTTTAAAATTTTTTTTTTTAATTGCTAGCAGGATTCCCATTCAACCCAACTGTTTTATTTTAGTTGGAGGTCACAGCCCTCCTGCTTTTGAACAGCCTCCACTTCTTTACCTTGTTTACAGTTCTGCACAAAATCTTCCTCTTTTTTTAAAACATTCATTATCAACAGCTTTACTTGCTCATTTTTGGGCTGAAATATCCAGAACATGAGTTATGCTTTTGTTGCTGTAAGCCAGTGAGACACTTCATATTTTGTTACCCTCTAATCAAAATTATTTCCATATAGCAAGCACCAGTGACCACTCACTAATATTTCTTAGGTAAAACCTAAACAATGTTATTTTATATTGGTGTAGTGYCATAAGTGTAACATATGAAATGTGYCCATTCACCCTTTAAGTTCTTACAGTACACAATAGTACAGAAAACAGCAATTTGTGATATATTATCCCATTTCTGATTTCATTTCCTTATTTATTGAATCACCTTAAACTGAAATCCAGTGCTAAATCAGTCAAACTCCACAGTACAATATGTAAAACCTAATATTGAAAAGAACTGCTAGAAAAATTAACTTCTTGCTAACAGTAAGAAGTTAATTCTTCTTTTAAATATAAAAGCATTTATATAATTAAAAAATATTGAGGGTACATATGAAACAAACTCTGCATTGTGCATTTAATTAAAAATATTACCCTGTAAATTGAAACTGAAGGTTCAAAAATGAAATGGAAACAATTAAAGTATCATTGTGTAAGTTTGAAACTTCTGAGTAAATAAATAATGCGAAATTCTACTGGGAAGTAATGAAAAGASACAAAAGAGATCTGGATCAAAAAATTGCAAAGCAGATGCATTATTTTTATTGAAAAATGAAAAGTCTCAATTTCAAATGAATACCATACTGCCACAGAGCAAGCTGAGAGCCATCTGCAAGAAATTACTCCTAATGGGGGAAAGACAGGGAACASCTGAGGCAATTTTATTTGTGACCATCTCCCTGCAAAAAGGTGCTTCCTCAAAACAGCAGATGAGGAAGAAAAACAACAACAAAATGCTCTCCTTGTTCTGTGTTTTCCATTTAAAGTCAACAACAAAGCTTTTGTGATTGCTAAATCCAGCAYTGGAGAGCTCAATATGACAATTGTGAGGGGTCTAAAGGCAAGGTATGTGAGGCTGCCACTCTTCAGAACAGTTTCAGCTAACTTTGGACTCCAGAAAATTGGAGGATTTCTTTTCTGTGGGCAGCCCAGAAGGGTGTAACTTGCAGTTTCACTTGTTTCAGTCTCAACACTGAAATTAGGAAGCTTTACCTAGCTGAAGAGACTCCTGAGGTGACAGCTCAGAAAGCCACTGGTATGCAGGTAAAAAAATCCCACAAAAGAAGCTTTAATGCAAGTTGTCCCCATATATTTGACACTGAATATTCCACTGTGCCCTGGCCTGAGACCAGTAAAGACAAAAAAAAAGGTGGTGTTAAGTACCTGGAGGCTGGATTTGTCTGGGTTCTCCTCATGTCATCGTCCATGGGTGTCAGGCACGAGGTGATGTTGAGAGAAGCAGGATTTGCAGCACTGCATCTTTACAGGCTGCTTTGAGAAGCTGCTGCCCTAATTCTTTCCCCTCTCCCAGAGTAAATGGGATGGCAGTGGATTTACTCTTCATTTAGTGTATTGTCCAAAAACCTTATAAAATTCCAGCGTGGGCTGGAAGACACTGRGCTGACTGTGTTAAAGAGTTAATTGCTGGCATAACTGAACTCCAAAAACATACTGAGGTACAGTGAAATACCAGAACTTCAAATGGATCACATCTGACCTTTTTAACAGCACTGCAGTAAAGACTCATTTGTAAAGCAGMAGAAATAAATCCGTACTCAAGAACACTGAAAATACAACAGGCTTTTTGGAAGCTTTGTTGTTGGATTTCCTTCCATAGTGATTGCAAATGGCAGTTGACATTTATAATCCTTTTTGAGAAGCATTTTTACACCTTTGACAGGTTGGTCAACAGAAGGGAACGTGGGACAGTGACTCTTACAAAAYGGTGGCTTAAAAAAATCCACTCCCAGCTCTCAACATAAAAGTGTCAATATGAAAATTATAATCTGTATGATTATTCAAAACAATTTAAGAACATTTCAATAAAAACACAATACGTAACACCTTTAATCAAGAGATTRCTTTGTAAGAGGGCAAACACTTTGCTGAAGGTTTTAATCTTTTGCATGCCAAGAGTCAGCATTATTATGAAATCACAAATTCATTGGAAACTGGCAACTTTCTTGTTTTTCTGGCAGTTCTTGCCTGAAACTTTCATTACATGTACCCAAAAGCAGATGAGACATTATTTATGCTCAATAGTTCCATATGTGCACCATTTTCAGCTTTAACTTTTGAAAAACAGAGATTAATAACCACAGGTAATAATGTACCTTTTATTTGCTTTCAGTGTAACATTCCATGCTAATTGCAGATGTAATATTCATGAGTGTAAATATAAGAATTAACAACTCTGGGATGGTTTTCTTCCCTTTTTACACTTGAATATTTTGGCTTACAAAATTAACGGCATACAGTAAATAACCCTCCCATACTTTGTACAAACTACATGATTTTGATATACAAGGATCCTGTTTTTATTATAGTGACAATATACAACCACGTCTATTTACAATGCAAAAAGTACATAAACCACATTTTAAACATTCTGCTACTGGCAGCCACTATTGTTTAGGAGGTAGCTTTAATTAACAAAATGAACTGAAGCCACATTTCCCGTCATGGGTTCTATCAAATAACTTACAATACAAAGATAAAAATTCATTGTATGAACAGTATATACAGTTTAATTCTCAAAACAGCAATCTAGCTTTAGATCTTAACAAGAATATCTCCAGAGTAACTGGGATGGCAGTGGATTTACTCTTCATTTAGTRTGTTGTCCAAAAACCTTRTAAAATTACTTAATCAKGCATTAATAACTTTGTATTGATCATATTTCAAACTAAATATAGAAAAATGGATCACTGGTTGTACTTAAATCACTTGGGTCTCAGAACTTAAATGGTTTAAAAAGACTGCACTGATTTATGTGTAAATCAGTGACTTTGCACATGCACTTTGCTGTCAGTAAAGTAACTGGAAAAAYGCTTTTTTACTGCCAAACTGCATTTTCCCCACATTTCCTAAAATCTCAGACTATGCATAGGTGTTAGTGGAGTGCTGCAGCATTCACCAGGCTGCAGAATGAGCCAGTTTTATTGCAAAGAGGTGAGCTGTGTACAATGACAGCACTGCTCCCACCCCATACAATGACATTCTTTCCAATGGCATGGCTCGACTGTGTAATACTGAAGAAACTTGCTGTGGTTCACCTGAAGTAATGCAT